TGTTCTAAAGCTGGTAAGAACAAACAACAACAAGATTGCTCATTATAACAAGACGCGCTAATCACACTCAGGTGTCACAGCCTTATGTCACTTCAACTGTCCAGAGGTCTCACCTACATTCTTTCATCTTGTGTCTGTTTGCAGGAAAGTAGTCACTTCTCAGTGATGCCCAGTAGCCATATTTCATCAGCACAGGTTAATAACCCTGTTCATCATTCCAAATACACGTGCTTGAACAATGCACCTAACAAGTGAGCAATTGCATAAAGCAATGATGTAGGTAGAGAAGGCAATTTGGGAGATCTAAGTTAAGTAGCAAAGATAGAGAAGCAGTAGTTAGGGAGGATATGGATATAAAGATATTCAAGCCATGTTTGTTGACATCAGAGAACTCCTAAAGGAAGTGAGAGGAATACAAATGTGTGCATTTTTAAAAATAACATACGAAGAAGGGTACAATAAGTATTGAGTGGTACAAATGAGAGCATGATGTGATAGATAGGGGGCAGGAAGGTAGGAGAGCCAAGCTCTAGCTGTGGCTCAACCACTAACCAGGTAATCTCAGGCAAACCATTTGCCTTCTTTGAGCCTCATGTCTTCATCTATCTATTGTAGAATGAAATGTTTCACTGTGATATAGAAAGTTCTTGACAACTCTAAATTCTCCAAGTTCCTGAATAGAGATAAGAAAGTTCAATACAACCATATCTCCAGAAGCTTTTAAAAATGACAAGAATCCAAATAGAGCTAATTTAAGTAAAAGCAAAAAAAAAAGCAAGAAAGCATTAGAAGTCCAGGAGTTATGTGGGCTTCAGGCAAGGGTGGAACTTGTCCTCAACCAGCTCTCTCTGTTTTTCTGGCTCTGCTTTCTTCTTTGCCAGCTTCACTGTTGTACAGGTTTCTTTGACATAGTAGAAAATACAGCCTTGGAAGCACCAGGCTAATATAAGCTGCAGCTTCCGAAGGAGAGAGATTCTCTCCTGGTATCCGTATTAGTCCCTGAAAAAGGATTCCTGCTGGCATTGCTTAGCTTATATGCTTGGGGAGGTAAGGTACTGCCCAGCCTGAGTCATGACCTACTTTTGTGGCAGGAGAGGTTAGTTAGGCCCCTGACTGAACGTTTCACAGGAATCACATGGAGAACAACAACAAGTTGTCAAAGGGAAGGCATGTGGCATAGAGAAAAAAACAAAAACAGGTGTCCACTTATACTCTTTTTTTTTTTTTATTTTTTGTGAGGAAGATCAGCCCTGAGCTAACATCCATGCTAATCCTCCTCCTTTTTGCTGAGGAAGACCAGCTCTAAGCTAACATCTATTGCCAATCCTCCTCCTTTTTTTCCCCAAAGCCCCCAGTAGATAGTTGTATGTCATAGATGTACATCCTTCTAGTTGTTGTATGTGGGACGCGGCCTCAGCATGGCCGGACAAGCAGTGCGTCAGTGCGCACCCGGGATCCGAACCCGGGCCGCCAGTAGCGGAGCGCGCGCACTTAACCACTAAGCCACGGGGCCAACCCCACTTATACTCTTGATAGAAGCTGGCATGAGGGTGAACATAAGGGGATTTCTATATTTTTAATGCCAATTGTAGGAATTCCTTTGTTGTTGTTTTTGTTCAGCAGTCCAAAATCAGGCATTGCCATTGGTGTTAGCTTTGTTGGAAGAGCAGGGTGACCTTTATGTATTTGGACAAAATTGAGGACATAATTTTTAAATTGCAATAATTATACTATGAAGTGCTGAGGGTAGACTGAACTTCTTTATTTTATCAACATCTGTTTTTACTGAACATCTGTATTTTATCAAATGTGTGAGCTGAGTTTGGCTATTTAAGAGATCCAATACCCATTATTTATCCAGTAAGTTTTAGCTAAGATGTTCAGTGTTTGCCATAAACAGTTGACTCTGAAGGAACAAAATCAGTTTTCTTTAATGATTGATGGACCCCACTATCCATCACTCCAGCTGCACTGTACCATTAAAGAGTGTAATTCATTACAAAGAGCACAGCTCTGAGAACTGCCTAATATCCGTAAGTAGTGGAGCAAAATGGCCATGTCCACATAGGGACACAACAGTGATCTTCCATCTCCCAAATATTGAAGAGAGCTGTGCTGAAGACATGATTTACTGAAACCAGCTGGAGAAGGTATCTGTTCTTTTGGCCTGTCTTGTACCCATTCCTTCTTCTTCTAACAGTACCCTGATTTTGCATTTGGAAGCTATCCTTTTTCTTCTTCATCCACTCCTTTTGAGATTATCAATAAAAGTGCTCCATACTTTTCTCTAGCCAAGAAGTAGGCAAAGGATCTAAGCTAGTCTCATTAGCTCTTCTCTTTATGAAATTTCTTCTTGAATGCAGTGACACAAAGATTAGAGGCACCAGGATAAAACGCCCATTAATTCGTGCTACCTACATTGCTACCCACCCAGACCAGTTGTTATTCTCTCCAGAGTCTGGATCCTCTTTTACTATGTATCTATTAATTACTCCTGTATCCTTCTAATAAAGTCTAAATGCTTGGTGTTCCATTAGCAGCTGGTTGCTCTCAGTTAGCAAGTGTTAGGTACCAGACCATCCCCAAATTCCATTTATTTAGGTCATGATTCTGTGAGTGGAACTTGGCACTGGGGTCAGCTGGGCAGTTTATCTGGTCTTAGGCTCCCATCTGAGTCATCTGTAGTCACCTTCAGGTCAGCTGAGCATCTCTGCTTCTGGGCATTTGCTGGCTGCTAGTTGGGGCAACCTGCAGGGTGTCAGGGGTGGGAAGAGTCCTGGACCATGTATTTCTTGTCATCTAGCAGCCTGGCCTGGGCTTGTTCATATGGTAGTGACAAAATTCCAAATGGAAAAGTAAAAATGTGCAAGGCCTCTTGAACCCTCAATGCAGATTGGCACAAGGTTGCTTCTGCTGTTTTCTATTTACTAAATCAAGTGGAGGCCAGCCTAGATGCACGATGTGGAAATACATGCATATAACCTCTGGATGGAAGTAGCTACAACGTCACAATGTAAATGAGTAAGGATGCAAGAAGAGGAATGATTGAGGGCATTTAAACAATCTACCACACCCCAAGTTGGTTTCTGTACCATCGTTAGCTAATGAAGCTGATATGCCAACAAAAAACTCTTTTAAAAATACACTGTAGGGTCCGGCCCAGTGGTGCAAGCCGTTAAGTGCACGCGCTCAGCTGCAGTGGCCCGGGGTTCGCTGGTTCAGATCCCGGGCGTGCACCGACGCACTGCTTGTCAAGCCATGCTGTGGCGGCATCCCATATAGAGTGGAGGAAGATGGGCATAGATGTTAATCCAGGGCCAGTCTTCCTCAGCAAAAAGAGGAGGATTGGTAGATGTTAGCTCAGGGCCGATCTTCTTCACAAAAAAAAAAAGAAAAAAAAAAACAATAAATGATCAACAAATGTTAAAAAAAAAAAAAAACAACACTGTAATATGTGGGCATTCTTCCCTAAAGTTGGAGGATGTAACTCATTATAAGAGGTTTGGGAGGCAAAGTCAGCTCCTCTATGGGGTATGGAGCAACCTCTTATTCTTGGGGCCGGCCCTGTGGCATACTGGTTAAGTTCAGCCCGGGTTTGCAGGTTCGGATCGCAGGCGCGGACCTACACCACTTGTCAAGCCATGCTGTGGCAGCGTCCCACATACAAATAGAGGAAGATTGGCACCGATGTTAGCTCAGGGCAAATCTTCCTCAAATAAAAAAAGAAGAGGATTGGTAACGGATATTAGATCAAGGAGAATCATCCTCAGCAAAAAAATAAATAAAAGTACTTCTTATTCTTAAGCCCAGTGCATTGTGTCTTGAGAGGATTGCTTGCCGCTCCTCTGTATCTCTCTTAGCCATGCAATGTTAAAGGGCCATCACTATCAATTATATCATCTACCAGGTCCCCTAAACTTTCAGCGTATTGCTCGCCTAGTTACGACATATACCAGCATAATTTGGCTACCCCCTATATTACTGCTTCCTGCTGCATCTAGTATAGCACTTGCTAAAAACATTTGCATTTGCCTTTCTGGGATATGTATTGAATTTCTGTAAGTTATATTTTCCTTTTAAGCAGCACAGCCTCTTGGTAAGCTGTATCAATCACAGAGTAAGGCAAATGCTAATATTAATGTGTGCTGCTGTAGGTGTTTCTTGCCAGTTTTCATCCAAGTTCTGACTCATCCCAGCCCTCTTTAGGTTTGTGAGATCTAATAAGATCATAGCACAGGGTGGTATAGCTGTAGGCAGAAAATTCTGCTTGCCAAATATATTTTCCTTTACAGCAAGTTCATAAATTAATGTAGGACACTGAGACACCATGCCTATACGCATGCATTTAGACAGAGCTCTCTTCAGTTGACTGCCTTCCCTTCCAGCCACTAATTTCTCTGAGACGGTGCCAAACTCTTGGTCAGATGTAGCTTCAATGCTGCCCACCCTCTCAGTGTGAAATGATAATTAATATGACTTTACAGGTAAGGTGGTGTTCTAATTCCATTAATAACACCCATTATTCCAGAGTGTTTTAATTTGGTTATAAAAATTGACTCAGGAGGTGGAATGTGGCTTGGGAGCTTATTTTAAGAGCAAATGGTTTGTTTCTAATTTTTCTTTCAAAAGAAAAAAAGTTTCTTTTTTTTAAAAGAAAATTTGTGTTGCTTTTAAATTATATAAGCACTGGGCCAAATTCCTAAAATATTGATATGATTTTGGATTTGTAAATGAGTTGGTTTCATTTTCTGGTATCTCCATCAGAGCTGGGACCTCCCAGGGCTTCTCAGCCAGCTTAGGTTGAACAGGGTGCAGAGCTCTGCCACGTATCATCAGTTGGGATCAGAGGGCATTTCTTTTACGTTGCTTCTCATACTTAAACATCAAATTCTCTTTCCAGGCAACAGTTAATACAAGCTACTGACTGAATTGAGTTTGATAATAAGAGGCAGCCTATTTTTGCATTGTATTTTGATGGATATTTTACTTTCTTATTGTAGATCTGCTGGAGGAGACCCACAGAAAAGATGAAGAAATGGAATCTCTGCAGGTAAAGTAAATTCTCCAATACGGCAGGTATCCTTGGGCTAAAAAATTTGTTTTTATTCTGTTAGCCTTTATTATTGTCACATTCAGACCACTGTGGTACATGGAGTAAAAAATAAGTTAGAACTTTAAAGCCCAAGTTGGAATTTGCTTACTTTTAGAAGTATTTGAGAGCATTTATAATCTCCTAAAGCAGGAAGCCAGCTCAGCCTCTGTGCTACTCTCTCTCCAAAGGAACTTTATTCCTTGGTATAACTTAATAGGAACTGCAGCGTTAGGAAATGAAAGCAACAAGTTGCAAAGTCATTTCCCCAAAAACAGAGCTGATGAATGAGGATGAATTCACAGAATCTACATTTTCAAGTGAAAGTCAACAGTATTCTGACTCCATGAATGTTATCTACCAATGACCAACCAAGAATGTTAACACATATATGGAGCTTAAGACTTATCTTGTATGCCTCTCAATTCACTATGGATTTATACACATTTCTTGGACTAGAAAATTGTGTTTGAAAGATCACAGTAGAATTTTAATTGACATTTCCATGGTATGAGCAATTGATGTTAACTTGGCATCAGGCAGAAGTTCTCTCTTCCTTTTACATTGGGCCAGCTTACAAATGAGTAACTTAAGTGTCTATCTTTATTAGGAGAAACATAATCAGTTATCCTCACATGACAGAACCAATTCACTTAACGTTCACATTGGGGATTAAGAAGAGTAAATACTTTGGACATTTAGAGTTCTTGGGCCTAGAGCTGCAAGGCGGGACTGGAGAGTGATATAATGAGCTGGCTTGAGTGCTTTAGGAGTAAAGATGTTTGCTTCTGGCAAATGAAGGATGGGTTAAGCAAAGCCCAAAGAGCAAGGGAAATATTCTGTAACTGTGGATTCTTCTATTTATCTGTTAAGAGAAAATTGTATAATTGATCTGAAAATGATCAAGAAGAATATAGCTCTATAATAAAAGTGACATATGTTAGTCGCAATTTTGTACAGATTAAATTCTTTTAACATCTTAAGCTATATTCAAGTATAAAAAGAAAGAGCCCTGGTTGGTCCAGTCTGGGGCTAGGAAGAATCTCAAGTGTATACTCTGAGAAATTAATATCAGCAATGCTTGTTATAAAAAGCAAAGCTTCTATGTACACTAAATGGGTATATTGAGAAGGTAATAAAGGCTTTTGAGGCCTTCTGATTATGCATTATGTTTGCCATTGGCCCAGAGTACCACATATAAACATATTTATTGAGTACATAGTAGATATCTGGCCTTTTGAAATGGCAGCACAAACCTTTTTTAGTTTATTTCTCTCACTATATGAATATTGGAACCAGTAATCCTGTTAAATTTAATAGCTTATGTTGCTTCTCAAATATTTATTAAGTACTGGCAGCATTTTCTACCAAAATGCTCATTGAGTGCAATAGAATGCAGCAGCCAACTAACTTTGGACATTTATAAATGTAGAGTATTTAATGTGATGTCCAACAGTAGAAGAGTGCAATGTTGGCACTTTGTAGTGGCAATTAGTGCCTAATACTAACACTCTATTAAGAACAAAGAAGGAACTGACACCTCTCATAGTGCCCAAGAATGCAGAGACACGTCACAGAAAGCATTTCATTTTAAAGACTAGAGGAAAATCTATCGAAAAGTGCCTACATTCCTGAGTTTCCATATTCAAATATAAATATCACGGGTGATACTGTTGAGAAGACTATTAAAGTATAATAGGTTGAAGTCCTACCATAACACAATAGAATTTTGGGGAGAAAAAGACAAAATAGTTTCAAAAAAATAAAATGATAGCACATGAATTTTAAGTCCTGGCTCTGCTTCTGATTCACTGAGTAACCTTGAGTAACTCAATTAACTTTGCTGTGCCTATTTTCTCATTTGTAATATAAAATCATAAAACTGTCTTCCAGAAGTGTTTAGTGTAGGTTAGATTGTCCCAGAAGGGAGAGCTAAATATTTAATTCCAATTTACAATGTTAGCAGATCCCCATGTATCCAAATGGTAGTCAATTTTATTTACTCATTATCATCATATAATTATGTATAACAGACATTATGCATTTAATGTTTTCCTCCTTAAGGGTAGTGGGTGTTTATTTATCTCTAATCCTTTTCCAGTTTCCTGTAAGTAAAAGGTGCTCCATTTACTCATTGAACAAATATTTATTGAGCGCCAATTCTGTGCAAGGCACTGTACTACATGCTAGGGATACAAAAGCAAGCTGCTTATACTGGATAACTTCTTGCCCTGTACACCAGAATTAGTGGACAAGAATGTTAAATAGGTGTTTATAATATTAAAAAATGATATTAGAAGGGATGTATAAGTCCCTATGGGAACATATAACACCTTTCTTGGTTTGATGGAGATAAGGGTAGGTTGGGTGCAAGTATAGGGGGTTGAACGTGGGTAGGGTGAGCTGGTTTGGAGTGGCAATCTAAGTGGGCTTCCCAAAGGAGGCCGATATTTAAATAATAATGAGGAGTTAGCATTGGCAAGTTTGGAGTAAAAATAAAAAAACTTGTAGGCAGTGTGAAGGATATGGGAAGGCCCGAGGTAAAAGAAAGCATCAATTTCGTGTTTAAGGAACTGAAAGAATTTCATTATGGTGGAATGTAGCATCCGGAAGAGGAGAGGCAAGACAGGAGTTTGTAGAGGTCTGAAGGACCTCGTAAAGGAGTTGGGATTTTACCTTTAGTATATGGGAAACCAGTCAAGGGTTTGAAACAAGGAAACAATATGATCAGCTTTACGTTTTTAATAGGTAAGTGGCTGTAAAGTCTAAAATAATTGGAGACAGGCAAGATTGAAACCAGGGAGACCAATTAAGCAAATGCTTGTGAGAATGTTGGCAAGACATGATGGTAATCTGGCTTGGATGGTAGCAGAGAGCATGAAGAGGAATGGATGGTTTCTTGATCTATTTTAGGATATAAGAATCCATGGAACTTTGAGATTGGTTGTTAGGAAGTAAAAAGGAAGGAACTAAGAATGACTCTTAGGTTTCTTGATTGGGCAACTTCATGGATGATTATGTTTATCCTTGAGATCAGAGTAAGTTGATTAGTTCAAGTTATGGTATCTTGAGTTTGGGTACCTTGAAGCATCCAGGTGGCAATGTCAAGAGGGTGTTCATATATGAGTCTAGAGCTCAGAAGGAGTTTGAACTGAACATGCAGAATCTGGTATCATGAGATCTAGTCTCCATATCATCTAGATAATACTAAAAGTCATAGGAGCAATGAGAACTCCCAGAGGAAGTATGTAGCATAAAGAGATGAAAACTTAAGCCAGAACCCTAGGGAATACCAACACTTAAGCAACAGGCTAAGGATGAAAATCTTGCAAAGGAGTCTAAGACATAAAGAAAATAATTTCAGGGGAGCATAGTGTCATGAAGCTTAGCAAAGAATATTTCTACGGGAAAATAATCAATAAAACTGAATAAATGTTAAATCCTCAAATCCACTTAACTAAGGGGTTTAGGTTTTAAAATAAAAAGTTGCTATATAATGAAGTAATTTCCTATCATACCTATGTAGCAACTCGCATGTCTTTCACTTTCCCAAATATCCACTAGTTAGCCCAGTGCCTCACCATAGGAGGTATTCAGTAAATTTCTGTTGACTAAATAAACAAATGAATGCCACTCTACTGGTCTCTTATTTATATAGCACCTATTCCTGGTTCTCTGTAAGGTCTACCTATTAAAAAACAACACATAGATTTCACTCTCTCCTTTTCTCCATCGTGCTCTAATCCCTCTTTGAATGTAGCATTGAAACAAAAAATCAGTAAGTGAGTAATTTGGCATGAGTGGTAGGAATCAGCGGGAAAGGAAAAGGGTAAAATGGAGACGGGGCGGGCAGCGGAGAGGAGAGTGCTTTCAATCTTCAGAGGAATTGCAAACAATGGAGACAAACGTATTTGACAGTGACTTGTACAGTGCAGCTGGTAATTACCGAAATTCTTCACTGGAGCTTAACATTGTCAGGCTCATTTTTTTGTGTGACATTCATTTGCAGTTACGTTGTGTGCTGCTCCTCTTAAAAACAAAGTATTGTCTTTGACTATAAATGTGTGATACGGTATCAGAGTCGTATTTGCATATGGGTTTGAGGTACACTGAAACAAGCAAATCCCTTCTTTAATCCACTCAAGATCAACTGAAACGTTTTGAATAGATACAAAAGGTAGTCCACGTTTCCTCAATTTAGTTGAAAAGTATTCACTGACTGACACCTTACTTGTGATGGCTGGTAGTCATAGGTGCTGTTGTTTTTTGTTTCCATTTTTTTAATAGCAACCTACCTGGTTGGCCTTTCATCAGGTTCTTGCTTTTTCTCATGTTGCTTTGTGAACCCTAGAATGCAAATCACACCAAACGAGTATCGTGCTTAGTTACGAAAAGCTTCAAAGTGCTCCCTATGACAGTCACTGAAGGGTGTCTGGAAAACGCCGCTTATGTCTCTCCTCTTACGCTAACTTACAGTCATCTCACTTTTCACTTTATTTTAAATGAGATAAAACTAGATGATTATGAACATGATTTTTCTAATTCATTTTCCTCTTTTACTAGGCTATCTTTAGGTCATTTTTTGAGGCAATATCCATGTTTATAAACTGGGGACAATAATAATACTGACTTCATAGGACTATTGGGAGAATTAACTAGGATAAGGAAGGTATAAATGTTGGTGCGTGGCAGGTCCTCCATAAATATTAATTTCACGCACTATTGATTTTCATCTACTATGTGCCAGACATGGTGCTGCATGCTGGGGACAAAGCAGTAAATCTCCCTGGCCTCCCGGAGCCCCTCCCTTCATCCCTCTCTTCCTCTCTCTCTCTCCCTCTCTCCCTCTTTCGTCCTCTCCCTCTCTCTTACCCATCCCCCTCCTCCTTCCATGGGCAACCTTGATTTTAAATTCAGATTTTGGTCAGATTATGCTAAAGGAAGTATTATATCTTTGGATA